GTGTTGATTCCCTTTATGTATGTAATGTTTCTATCCCCCTGTCTTGTCTTTCCTCCCAGCTATACATGTTAAGACCTTTTAACCTTTCCATGTAAGTTTTATCCTGCAATCCATGAACCAGTTTAGTAGCCCTTCTCTGAACCCTCTCTAAGGTATCAATATCCTTCTGAAGATACGGTCTCCAGTACTGTGTACAATACTCCAAGTGAGGTCTCATCAGTGTTCTGTACAATGGCATGAGCACATCCCTCTTTCTACTGCTAATACCTCTCCCTATACAACCAAGCATTCTGTTAGCATTTCCAGCTGCTCTATTACATTGTCTGCCTACCTACTGGCTAAGTTCGGCAACACAGGAAGATTGATTGCTGCTTCTTCTAATTATATCCCTTTTTTGATCTACACCCTGCTGTTATGTGATATGCACTTACCTGCCTATAGATGGCCATTTTCCCTTATCCATCAGACTCAATTGGTTAATTAATATATGTGGAGCGATTTTTTTTTTTTGTATATTTACATTAATCTTAGTTTTCACTTTTTTTCACTACTATTCTATTTCACTGTGCTCCCTCCCCATTACACTTCTCTTCAGGGTGTAGTACTGGAATTATTTTATTCCTGCTTAGTTATTTTAGGGTTATCCACTGATAGATAGGGGGCACAGTTTAAGTGACATACAGGAGGTAGGATTCAATGGTATCCCCCACAAGTGGTGGGTAAACATTGAATCTCTCCCCCTGATTTCAGTTACCGTTAATACTTTATTTTTTGACATTATATGGTAAGAAGAACCTTAATATTGTTGTGGTAATGGCAATTTAAAAGTTAGCTTTGCTATGTCAGTTGATAGATTTGGTGCACATTTTGTTTTCTGCTAATCCATTTCCCTCGATTTTAGGGTTACATTTTACAAAAATAAATTCCGAGGAACATTTATTAGAAAAAAATAATAAGGTTAAAATATAAGTTTGAAGATGCATAACAGAAATCTAAAATAGTCAAAAAAAATGTGTTAATTCAATCTATACAATTTGTTTTGAATATACTCTGTATCTGCCTCATTATGTCAACACTTAGTCCTAACCACAGTCTGTCACTAATTTCCAATTGTTTGAAAGCAAACAGTTTTTTACATTTCCTTATTTTGTAAAGCAGAAAACTGTGTAATGTCTAGTTTTTAACTAATTTTCTTTGTTGGAATAATGACACCATGCAGTTTTTAATGCAGCAGTCAGTTTACATTTAGTGGAAAGGCTTTTGGAGTGCAATGTAGCATACAAATTCTAAATTTGTATACCGCCACATCAACCTGAAGGGAGTAAAGACAAATTATATTGTTTTCAATATTTTAGATATTCAGCCCTAGATGCTGCTATTAGACACTAATCAGGTAAGACATATTCCTTACAGCACTTTAAAAATTCCTGACCCACCACTGTTCTCTTATCCTTGAGCATGAAATCAGTTAATAAAATCATCTCTATGAACAATCATTGGTAAAATAAGAACATTTTATGTTTTTTAGTGACTGGTCAAAGAGCTATTTTAAAATCATCAGATCCCATTTTCACACATTTGCCAAATGTCTCATCCTGCAGGTCTAAGCAACATAACTAAGAAGCGGAAGTACTGGCTATAATGAGATTATTATAATTATAAAACGTAATTGTCACTGGAGATGGGACTCCTCGTACGTGTTCTCTTAATTATACTTTGTATTGTCTAATGTTTCCTGTGATTCTGTGGGGTCCCCTTGTTCGCAAATCATATTTGGGCTTGATTACAAGATTGTGCTTGTCCCATTTTAAATATGATAAAAATGAAGCTTGAGTATTAATCTGTGAATAGGTATTAATGTCTCTTTTAGATATGATATTGGAACACAGAGCTTGTTCATATCAAATGACTCCGTATCTAATAGAAAATCAAGACATATGGCAAATGAGAGAGTACGTTTATACTGAAACCAGACTTCCAGGCCACTTATGTGTGACTCACACCTTACAGAGTAGCTCTGCTGGGGTCCCAGCTTCAAAGAGGAATATAGCTTGTAAGCTCTGACCTCCCATACAATCAAATTAACCCCTTTTGAAATTGACAATACCACCTTTACAAGGCAGCCAGTTCATACGTGCATGAACATAACTTTTGTTTTACTGAACTTTTTGGATATGTTGTGCGCTCAGATCGGGGCTATTCGGGAATATATTTTTTGTGTGGTCCCGATGCCGTTGTCATGTAGTTTTGTGATATGGAAAAATTGTATGCAAGTGTAACGGACCGTTTCTCTCACAAGGGGTTAAAATCGGTTTAGGCGATAATCCCCTTTCCCATAGACCAGCAGCTACTGCAATCACCAACCTCCTGAACTCCAAACTGCACGTATTCACCAACTCTCGAACAGCAGACACAGGAACCCTGGAAGCAGCCGAACAGGAAAATCAATACAAACGGCTTACACTCCTGGCAGTCAGCACACAATCCAATTCCCCCAATAACGAGACGACACTTCGTTTTGAGGGTTAAGCAGAATCTGAGGTGCTGGCACACCCAGCCTGGTTTTTATTACAGTGTTTTCAATTACAGGACCGCCCACAGGGAGGTATAAAACAACCAATAACATCACAGTTACATCCCACATATTCCCTCCCCTTATCCTGAGAGGAAACTCAATTATACATACAGTTAAAACATACTTTCTACCCAACTTTCATAACTCTAAAACCATACATCACATTCACATAAAATTACACATTCACAATCAATCCATTCAGGGGAACAACATATTAAAAAATGGCACAAATCAGACAAGGGGTTCAAAAGTTAGTAAAAAGTCCTTTGTGACTAAATGAAGCATGGCTTTCTGGCCCAAACCAGTTTCAGAGTCTTCTATCCTGGAGATAAGTAATTCAATTATCTCCCAGGACAGACACAAGACTCCATTAAGCACATGGTTGCAAAAAGACACAAAACACTTTAAAATACATAAAGTCACCTTTTATACATAAAACACAGACATTTCACATATCCCCAGATAGCTCAGGTCTGAGCGCACATTATTAAGTGAATGGCGCTCAGACCACACGAATACAGTGTAATCGCCATGGAGCCAAAGTCTTTACAGTCAGTTTCATACAAATGGGCTCCATGGGATTCCTATCTGGGGTATAACACATTCAAACACATCTACCGAACCCCAGGCAGAAAAGCACGAATACAGCTTTTCTGCAGGCAAAAATAAAGTCTTTTAAAAGGGGGCCATAGTCAGATGGCAGGAGGCTGGCAACCAGGCTTCTCCAGTGCACAGTGGCGAGGTTGGTTTCGCCACAGTAAGTTTTCCTATTTGAGAGATAATTGGATAAGCTTAATTGGAGCTCAATTATCTCTCAAACACAATGGCTTGTGGGAATAAAACCCCAGTAATTTTGTATTAGAAACCCCATGCTAGGGGCACTGCATAAAAAGCAGTTCAGATTCCTGCTTTTACCCAATACGACTGGTTGTGTCCATTATATTGGGGAAACTCTACACAAAGGGAACACTTTCACTATATTCAGCACATCTGGAATTAGGACTAGTGGAGGATTGAAGGAATAACAGCAACAGACTCATGGACCTGTGACATTAATGTTTATTCAAGTCCCTTAAAAAAGCAGTGCCTGATTAAAATTGCCCAGGACCCTAGGCAAGGTGCAAGAGTGTAGCTCCCTCCTACAGTCATAGGCTTTGTGCATGTGTGGTGGTGGTTAAGTGTTGTATGGTGAATGAGGGAGACTGGGTGTTGTCTGTAAGTGTGGAGGGGAGTGTGAGTGTAGCTATGTTGTGAGATGTTATTGATATTATTTTTAAACCTTTGCCCCTCTAATTTAAGACTATGTCCTCTTGCTCTGGTAGATTTTCTTCTTTTAAATATAGTCTACTCATTTACAGTGTTGATTACTGTAACATCTCCTGAATCTCCTTTCTCATTTCCTCTTTTACAGCATCAGGGATTCTATAGGGAGTCTGTCTGAGAGGGGTCTGTCCTGGTGTCTCCACATAATGTGTCGCTAAGGGTGTGTAACCTGGCTCCTGAGAGAATGTCAATCCTTTCTCAGCTAGCAATTGTTGGAGCTGTTCCCTTTCTGTGGGAGTTAACCGCTCCCCTAGCTGCACTGTATTAAGCAGAGTTTTAGGCTCGGAATCAGCTAACAAATCTGGGATGGGAAGACTGTCAGGGTCTTCAGTGGCCGGGATACATATGGCCGCTATATCTTCGGGCCTTTCTTGGTAGTCTTTTAACAAATTGACATGAAAAGACTTCTGGACCCTTTCGTCTTGGCTACTGGCAGTTACATAGGTGGTGTCACATATCTGGGCCACTACCTTGTAAGGGCCTTGCCAGGAGGTCTGTAGCTTGTTTCTCTTGACAGGTCTAAGTACCAGAACTTTCTGACCTACTTGGAACGTTCTTAGCTGGGCGCCCCGATCGTACCAGTGTTTCTGACGGCCCTGGGCTGCCTAGAGATGTTCTCGGGCCATTCTGGCTAGGTGCCCCATGCGGTCCCGCATCTCCAGCACATAAGGTACGATAGGAACGCCCTCATGCTCTCTCTCTCTCCCTCCCAGTGCTCTCAGATGAGGTCGAGGGGGCCTCGCACTCGCTGTCCATAGAGCAGCTCAAAGGGAGAGAAACCTGTGGATTCCTGGGGCACCTCTCGATATGCGAACAAGAGGTGCGGCAAGAATTGCTCCCAGTCTCTGTATTCCACTGTAAAGGTCAGCAGCAATTGCTTTAGGGTACCATTAAAGCGCTCACAGAGACCGTTAGTCTGGGGGTGGTACAGGGAGCTGAGCAGGGTCTTGACACCACAGACCTTCCATAACTGCTGGGTTAGGTCCGCGGTGAACTGGGTCCCTCGGTCAGATAGGATTTCCTGAGGGAATCCCACTCTGGTGAATATCTCGACTAGGGCACTGGCGACAGTGTCAGCCTGGATATTCGTCAGAGCGACAGTCTCTGGGTAGCGGGTAGCATAGTCCACTACTGTAAGAATATACTTCTTACCCGAGGGACTGGGGTTAGGTAGGGATCCCACTAGGTCGACTGCCACCCGGCTAAACGGTTCCTCGATCACAGGCATGGGTGACAGTCGAGCTTTAGGGTGGTCCCCTCTCTTCCCTACTCGTTGGCATGTGTCACAGGTACTGCAGTAATGCTGCACGTCCTTCGAGATCCCAGGCCAGAAAAAGGTCTGTGTGATCCTGTAGGCAGTGCAGTTACCCCCTAAGTGCCCTGCCAACGGAATGTCATGTCCAATTCGGAGAAGTTCCAACCGGTACTTTCTGGGTACCACTAGTTGGCGCTTCTACAAAGGGATACAGCCTCTCCTCCTACCTTGGGTCAACCTGTATAATCTGTCACCCTCCCATATAAAACGCTCCCGCTCATCCCCCCCACTGTCGGCTAATTCCCGATACTTTTGGAGGGTGGGGTCCTGTCTAGTTTCCCTCCCAAACTCTTCTGGGGTGTCCCAAGCTATGGGTCTTTCTACCGTGTTAGGGCTGAGTGTCTGTTTGTGGCTTACCTGGGTCTCCCGTTCTGCTGGAGGATCGTCCTCGATACGGGTCTGTGAGCGGGTGGTCACGGGACAAGCAGCAGCAGTCGTGGGTAGATAAGCTGAAGCCAGAGGGCCAATGTTGTTGCCCAACACGACTTCAGCAGGTAAATTGTCCATGATTCCTACTGTGGTCTTTCCCAACCCGACTCCCCAATCCAAGTGTACCCGGGCAGTGGGTAAGCGAAAAAGAGCCCCCCCTGCGACACGGACAGCAACAGTACGGGTAGATTCATGCTCCGGTTTCACAAGATGTTTCTGCACCAAAGTGATGGTAGCGCCAGTGCCCCTTAGGCCTTTTGCTACCTGTCCATTTACACGCACCTCCTGGCGGTGATGCTGGCGGTTATCTTGGGGATGCAGGTTTGCCTCGTACAGGATGCCCAAACACTTCTCAGGGCCCCCTTTGGTTTCCAGGCAGTGAGCAGCAGAGGTGCGTGATGAAGGGGTCTCTGTGTTATTGGTCGAGCGCCTCCAGTTGTTATTGGCTGATCCCAAGGGGCAATAATGAGCAATATGCCCCGTGTTGCCGCAGCGATGGCACGTCATTTTGTAAGAATCCCGGGGTTGGCTGTTAGACCCCTGAGGACGTGGAGGTCCTGGGGCCCGAAATTCTGTGCGTGCAGCGGGCGTTGGGGTGCATGGCTCTGCTCTAGGGGTTGGTCGTGTGGACCCTTGGCTCACCTTTTTTGACTCTGCGTATTCGTCCGCTAGCCGCACTGCCTCGATTAAGTTAGCAGGGCGACGATCTCTCACCCAATCCTGTAGGTCTTCCGCCAGATCTTGGAAGAAATGTTCCATTAGGAATAGCTGTAGTACTTCCTCTCCGGTGTTGGCATTGCACCCTCGCACCCAATGTGATGCCACCCTTTGCATCTTGTTTGCCCATACCTTGTGGGAGTCTGCAGCCTTCTTTTTAGACTCCATGAAGCGACAGCGATACGTTTCCAGGGTGACGGCATATCTGGTGAGCAGTGCAGCCTTCACCCGGCGATACTGTGCAATATCTTCCTCAGTAAGTGCCCGAAAAGCCTCATTTGCTTTTCCTGATAGCTTTCCAGCCAAAATAGTGACCCATTGGTCTAGTGGTATCTGGTGTAGTGAGCACTGCCTCTCAAAGTCCGCCAAATACCCGTCAATCTCTTCCTCACTTTCCACAAACGCTTTGAACGCAGTGAATGGTATTTTCTGCCCTGTAGCAGCGGGTTGGGGAGTATGAACTGCATGTGCAATGGGTTGTCTAGCTCTTGCCAGTTCAAGTTCGTGTCCCCTCCTATTTTGTATCTCCGTTCTCGCTTCCCGGAACAGCTGATCTATTAGTTCCACGGATGTTGCTGGGTACATGGATAATCTCCGCTGAACAAGATTTGTAATTTTCTCCTCCTCGCTGACAGGGGTAGGTTGGTCCGCGACCTCCATGGATCAATCCATCTCGTCCAGCTCCAGTAGGTCAGCTATCAGCTCTCTCCGTGGTCGGTTGCTGGCACTCCTTCCTCTGGTTTCCAATAGATCCTTTAGTGTGGGTATTTTCAGTTTAGCGTACTGGGATTCCATTCAGCACTTGCTTTGGGGATGAAAAGGACCATCCCACCGCTGCCACCAATGTAACGGCTACCCTGCTGTAGGGGGGTACCTGCCGTTGGAGACGTCCTTTTATAGGCAAGCTGCTGTGCAGTAATGGAGTTCTTATTCCCATCCACGATATCCAAGGGTATAATCCGGCAGTGCTGTAAAATGAGGCAGAGTAACGGTACCATAAATCCCCTCCAAGAACGGGACGAGGCTATGTTTTGAAGGGTCAAGTAGAACTGATGTTTATTGACAGGGGTCTCCTTTTATGCAATGGTGCCCTCTGAAAGGCTACACCCACATAATTATCACAACAGCCAATTAGATACATGGTTCAACCCCCACGTCTCCTCCCCTCAGATAACATATAACATAATTAAACCAGACACAATTTTAACCACATTCTGGATGTACCCCAAAAACAGGGGGTACACCTTTAAGCTTAATAATAGCTCTCACTCAGGGGAACAATATATACAAATTTCAGCCCATTCGGTTGAGGGGTTCGGGAGTTATGGATCTTTGAAGCCTCCATTCGTGCATTAAAACCCTACAAACCCCTTGCCATCCACAGTCAACCTGGTGTTCGCTGGAATCCCTATGCAGACTTAAACAAACCTACCGAACGGCCGGTCGTTCGGTAGTTCCAGCACGAACTTACGAGCTCCTGGAGGTCTCAGCGGTGTTTGCCTGTTTCCGTATCCATTTTTAGTTCCATGCGTTCACAGGCAAACATCGCCATTTGTGCGTAAGATGGCCGCGAACACGTGTAAAGTCTCGAAATGGCGGCCATCTAACCTGAGCACAAAGGAATTCGTATGAACCATGCGAACTGCTCCACAATCACTGGGAGGTAAAATATCAATTAACTGTTCCCCTGGGTGGTCTGATGTTCGGTATTTTGGGCTGTATGTTACAGTAGGAATATTTACACGAAAACTAGCCATTCGGTTTTTGTTTGACACATCCAGCAGCATTGTTATTTAAGTCCAGGCAAAAGTATAGGCACAATCATAGTTCTGTTACAATTACCTTTATGTATGTAAATGTTTCTATCATATCCCCCTGTCTCGTCTTTCCTCCCAGCTATACATGTTAAGACCTTGTAAGTTTTATCCTGCAATCCATGATCCAGTTTAGTAGCTCTTCTCTGAACTCTCTCTAAAGTATTAATATCCTTCTGAAGATACGGTCTCCAGTACTGCGTACAATACTCCAAGTGAGGTCTCACCAGTGTTCTGTACAATGGCATGAGCACATCCCTCTTTCTACTGCTAAAGGTTCTCCATATACAACCAAGCACTTTATGAGCAGGGGGCACAGTGATAGTGCACAATTAATGACTCAAAGCATTGCTGCTGCCTTCAAAGTTTCACTATACAGCTACACTTTGCACTCTGTGGGTAGTAAATAAGCAAAGTATTGGTGAATTCTACAGCTTACGATTTGTGTTATAAGATATGGTATAGCCCAATTTTTTTAGTTATGACATTATGTTGAGCATGTAGTTGTATTTTGTTTTTTGACAATTTTTAGTTTTAGTTTTATGAGGAACATTGTCATTAGTATCTTGTATATTTTCCTAATGTCTAACTAATGAGGTGTACCATTCTGACCCGCATTAGGAATCAAAAACTCACAATATTTCTTGCAGTTGGGCTATCAACTGATATGTTCACTTCAATGTGTGCAAGTGCTTCAGGCACAAGACAACCAGTAAGTGCATTTCTTCTCTGATAATGCAAACTAGCTGGGTGAGAACTGTATTAAGTGTAGGCTTTTTGTATGTTAGACATTTATTAGATTATTTAGTTTTTTGTTGTGGAGAAGAGCAAAAGGAGGAATAGAAGTGAAGGGGGGTCTGAAGGAAAAGGAGGGATAGAAAATAAGGGGGATTGTTTGGTGGCAAGCCTCAAGCCATTGGTGGGGATCGAGCTTGAGTTTTCTAACTTTGATATGAAGTTTAACAAGGGTAGCCATATTGTATGGAATTTTTCTGTCCTGTTTTGTAGAAAAGCCATTAGGACTTCCATTTTGTCGTATCTCTATGACCTTAGCTAACCACTGATGGAGCTAAATCCCCTCCAGAGGACAATTACTTAGCTGCATTGAGAAAATATTTAGTAAGAGGACAGTGTATTTTCTAACCAACATTTCTGGAACGGTCTTACACATTGGTTGATTTTTATATTTGTAATTGATTGATCAGTTTTGTACAATAAAGTTGTTGTCAAAAAATCTATTCCAACAAGTTAGAAGCTACACAAACTCTGGATAGTAGGAGTTATGTTCAAAGCATTAACAGTGTTAAGTAAGAAATAAATGTAACGTTATTAAAAGAACACTAACATTAAAAATACAAGAATGTATTTCAAACTCAGAAGAATGTTTTCTGGACCCCCTTTAAAGGAATACTCTCCTGTCAGGAATACAAACATATCGTCCTGACACTATATTGCTGGTGTGGAAGTTTAAGTCATGCGCCCCCTATCAGAGCAATGAAAAGGAGTTTAAACTCACCTTTTCTCCCATGCTGCTCCAGTCTCATGGCAGCTGACCCCGCCGCGCTCCACCTCCATGGCTCATTAAACTTGGAAACCATTGTGAGGCTATTGCACATGCAACGTAAAATGCCACGCTGTGCCAATCAGCATCTCCTCACAGAGATGCATTATTTAAATGCATCTTTATGGGGAACTTTCAGCATCTCCATGCAGAGCATGGAGACACCGAATGCCAGTGTTGCACACTGGAATACGCAGCACCTCTGAGCAACAGTGTTTACATTAAAAAGCCTGCAGGGGTAGGCAATAGACCTCAGAATCACCCCATCAAGATGTAGTGGATCTGTTGACTATAATGTCTCTTTACATGTTAAATAAAAAGCTGAAATCATTAGTGATGTTGAGTTCAGCCAATCCAATGCTTCCTCATAGAGAAGCATTGAGGATTATTGCATCAGCATCTCCTCATATAAATGCATTGACTTAGTGCACCTTTATGGTGAGCATTTGGCTTCTTCAAATAGAGCATTAAGATGCAAAACGTCGGTGCTGCAAAAAAAGCACCTAAAGTGGCTGTCTGAGTGAAAGCCAATACAGGTGTACCTGCAGTTTTAATCAAAATAATTAAACCCCCATTGAAAATAAGGTTTATTTTCAAAATGTACAGACTTTCAGCTGTTTGCAATGAACAAATCAAACAAAATATGCAGCAACGAAAGTCACGTTTCAGTGTTTGCATATGACACAAAACTTTGTAAAATAATACAATGTGAGCAAGATATTACTTTGCTGCAGAGGGATTTAGATAGACTGGGGGACTGGGCACTCAAATGGCAGATGAAATTTAATGTTGAAAAATACAAAGTTATGCACTTCAGTGTAAAGAATACCCAAGCAACGCATACCCTTAATGGAAGAGAATTAGGGATAACAACACACGAAAAGGACTTAGGAATTGTTATAGACAACAAACTATGCAACAATGTGCATTGTCAATCAGCAGTGGTCAAGGCCAGTAAGGTATTGTCATGCATGAAAAAGGGCATTCATTCTCGGGACAAGAATATCATTTTGCCTCTTTATAAATCACTAGTAAGACCACATATTGAATATGCTGTGCAATTTTGGGCACCTGTTCTAAAGAAGGATATTATGGCACTAGAAAAAGTGCAGAGGCGGGCTATAAAATTAATAAAAGGAATGGAACATATCAGCTATGAAGAAAGGTTAACAAATTTAAACCTATTTAGTTTAGAAAAACGTCGCCTGAGAGGGGATAGGATAACATTATACAAATATATTCGGGGCCAATACAAACTATTGTGTGGAAATCTATTCACAAACCAGACTTTACAGACTCTAAACCATACGTTTAGACTGGAAGAAAGAAGATTGCATCTAAGGCAAAGGAAAGGTTTTTTTTACTATAAGAACAATCAGGATGTGGAATTCTCTGCCTGAAGAAGTGGTTTTATCAGAGTCCATACAGATGTTCAAACAGCTACTAGATGCATACTTGCAAAACAGAATATTCAAGGATATAATCTTTCAATGTAGGGTAATAACTGCTTGATCCAAGGATAAATCTGACTGCCATTCTGGGGTCAAGAAGGAATTTTTTTCCTAGCTTGTTGCAAAATTGTGCTTCAAACTGGGTTTTTTTTTTTGCCTTCTTTTAGATCAACAGCAAAAAACAAATGTGAGGAAGGCTGAACTTGATGGTCGCAAGTTTCTTTTCTACTATGTAACTATGTAAAAGCAATTGAATAGCTCAATAATGAATGCTGTAGGTGGTTTTCCCAATTTCAACTGAAAATGCAAATTATAATGACTTCTCCAGTCTCATAATTATTCAACCCATTGAATAGAATCCCTCGCAACAGCACAAATATACAAAATAGACATGTGAAATTAGTTTCGTTCCAAATGTACATTCGGACAAGTTTCATGCAATTCGGACATTTGGATGCTTACGACTGTCTGTCGAATTGCTGAATTGCCGAATTTCCAAATTGCCAAACCAAATCGAATTGCCGAAGTTCCGAATAGCCGAAGTCCCTAATTGCCAAAGTTCCAAAGTGGATTAGGGCTAGGGGTAGGGTTAGGGGTTAGGGTTTAGGGTCAGGGGTTAGGATTAGGCATAAGGAGTAGGGTTAGGGTTTTGGGTTAGGGTTTAGGGTCCAAATGATCAAATATCCAAATTGCAGAAGTTCCGAATTGCCGAAGTCCCACATTGTCGAAGTTCCAAATTTCAAAAGTGCCGAACCAAATCGAAAGCCA